TGACTCATTACTTTAAACCTTCGTGTCAGTTAAAAAAAAAGAATAGAAAAGAAATGTTGTGAATGGTAGGACTTGAGATACATAATTTTTACTTATATGTCCAAGAAAGTCTACCCATAGAAACTTAGGTCCATCTGAATACCCTGTTATAAGTATCTAGAGCTTTTTTTGCCTCATTTTTGCCTCATAGTATGTTTTTTGACCAAAACATAATAAAGTGATAGCAAAAACATATGTACAAGGCAATACGTACACTGAGCATGAGAATTTAAAAAGCTACATGGGTTTCTTTTAAAACTAGGAAATAAACAAAGTCTCTGAACTTCTGTTGAAGAACAGCAATTTGCAAACCAGAGCATTTTTGTTAAAAAATTCTAGAGATATGTGTGACTGAGCTTTTATATCTTTTATCATTAGGATAATTGTATCCTTTCATGATTGTTATTCTAGTGTCTTATGTTCCTTTTGTGATAAATGCTGCTAAGTGTCAGGGTTAAACACAAATTGTTACTGATGATATACAGTCTTTATGCTTTGAATTCACAATTAACATTTTAATAGAATTTAATAGAAATTTCAGAATTCTTTAAGTTTAAAAGTTTTAATAAAGTGTTCATTTAGGTACAGTTTTTTTCTTTTTGGCTTTTTAAATCTCTTTCAGTATCAGGTTTACTTTTTAAAAGCACAGGTAATAAAATAGAATTTAGAATATTTGTTTTTCAGAATGTCACCATTTTAATGAGTGGTTTCTTGTCCATGCCAGGTTCTGCCAGCAATATCTTGTCTAATAATATTTTCTGTATCTGGTAATTATGGTAATGAGTTTCATAGAAAACCAGGCAGATATTTTGAGACAAAATTGGAACCCCTTTGAAGAAATGGGAAAGTGTGGAGGCTCTAATATGATAGAATAAATATTTCTTGATTTAGTTTTGAATTGCTCCCTTAATTTTCTCAAGTGTTCATCAAAAATTCCAAAAAGATAACATTCGTATTAAGACTACACAAATTAACAATGAAAAGAATTGCATGTAATTTTGGTCTATAACATCAGTGTCCTACTCATTATTAATAATACTGTCAGTAACTCTCACATCTGTTATTTTTCTATTTGCATTAACATCCATAAATTCAATAAAATCCACAAAAATTAATTAAACCATTTTGAGATAATTAAATCTTAAGAGGAAACTAAGCTCACCTTAAGAATGGCTGCATCTCATAAAGACAAGAGTTTTCACTTTGCAGTTGAAATTTATTAGGCAATTATGGAAGTATTAGTAATAGTATTTTTGGTAGAATTTAGATTACTTGAGCTATACATAAAGCCACTATTTGTCAAGAAAGGTGTTATCAGGCTTAGAATTTCTAATTCAAAACCATAAAAAACATGTTTTAAAGTGACAGTGCATTATATATGGTTTGTTCTGGGTAGAGAACTAAAATAAGTAAAAATTAACAGCAGTGATTTTTATTTGGTTTATAATGAATTGAACTCTTGCCTCATTTCTGAGTTCTTAAATTTGTTTCATGTGTTATGACTGCATATCTGGGCCCTTATTTCATTTCCTCTATAATTCGTAGATGGGTGGGTGTAGGGTTAATCGTAGAGTGCTTGGTCTTTTGAGCGCTGTTTCCTCAATAGGTGTCTCAGGTTGCCAGTGTTACAATCCCACATACTTTGTTGAACAGACTACCTGTTCATACAGGAGCTGCATTGTTGTATAGCCTCATTCCTTCCGATGGGTGTGGAGCAGGATTAAAGCACGCTTTATAGGGGTTCTAATTGTAGATGCCTAATTGACTTGATGAATGGCAAATGCTAAAATTTAAACAGATACACATACACACATAAACCTGTTTCAGGGCTGATCTGCGTGACAGAACAAATGCCTCACAGGTGTTGAATGCTTACAAGATAAAAGAGTAGTCTTTCCATATTTCCCAAGAATTTTCTTTTGAAGTTTATATGGATTTTCTATTTCATTGTTTCTTTTCTTAAAGTGGTTCATGGCAAGAATCCATTTCATCTTTGGGTGCACCTTTCACTTCTAAAGGCAGACCCAAGTTTTAGAAGTTGGCCAAAATTAAAAACAAGAAAATCTGTCAACAAGTAAATTTTCACACATTTTGGGAAGGGAAGAAGAGAGTGAAAAACTGCTGACTGTAGTCTTTGGCTTAGAAGGGTCACAAGTTTTTTTCTTAATTCTTCAAGAATGATTTGATGCTTGACTAAGTACTTTCAGGGTCTCATGAGGTTGCCTTCATTACCTGAAAAAGAAGGAAGCTTCTCAGGCAAGGAACTTGACAGATGGAAAAGATTTTTTAAAAATCAAAAGATCACACTGGTTTTTATTCTTAACATTCTTTAAAAATGTTTTCCCTTTATTATTATGTTTAACATTTTAACAGTTTTCCAATTCTCTTAGGGCAAATATTTTTCCATAAATATTTTTTAGCTTTTTATTTTGAGCTTGTTGTAGGTTCACATGTAGTTGTAACAAACAATACAAAGAGGTCTCATATCTTTTACCCCATTTTCCCCAATGGTAGCATCTTGTACAACTATAGTGTAATATCATAACCAAGAAATTGACATTGACACAATCTACCAACCTTACTCGGATTCTGCCAATTTGGCATCCACTCACTTGTGTGTGTGTAACATGCACTTGTGTGTGTCTGTGTGTGAGTGTATTTAGTTCTATGCAACTTAATCACATGTAGATTCCTGTGACTGCCACCAAGGATCCCTCATGCCACTCTTTTAAGTCCCCAACCACCTTCCTCCCACCCCAACCCCTCCAACTTCTGGCCACCCAAAATCTGTTCTTCATCCGTAATTTTGTCATTTCAAGAATGTTATGTGAATGGAATCATATAGCGTGTGCCCTTTGAAATTATCTTCTTTTTTTACTCAGCATAATTCCCTTGCAATTCATCCAAGTTGTTACATGTCAATACTTCATTCCTTTTTATTGCTGAGTAGTGCATATAGTATAAGGATGCACCACAGTTTTTTGTTTGTTTTTTAATAATTCACTCATGGAAGGACATTTGGGTTGTTTCTAGTGTTTGACTGTTATGAATAAAGCCGCTGTGAACATTTGATTAAAGGTATATTCATAACATTCTTTCACTGTTTTATTCATATCATTTTATTTGTCCAAATTATAGGCTGTAAAAATGAAGGTTAAAAAATATCGTATCAGTTGGATATTTCCTAGAAGTGAAATTTGAAATACAGGGCAAAAGTATAACACAAAGAAATTTTCTAGGGCCTTTATTTTTCCATAATATCTGGATTTCCTGGCATTAAATCATTACCACTTGGGGCAATAAGAAGAGGTGACTTCAGCATCAGTACATGTATGACTTTCAACTTCATCCCTAGTCGGCACCATGAAGGGGGAAATGGTGGGAAATATATGTTTGCTTTTAAAATTCTTATTTGTCTATAAGTTATGCTGTTCAAAAGATTGTCCTAAATTAAACAGATAATGAAAAATCCTATTCTTAGAAGTGACAAAAGTTATTAATGTTTCTATAAACATTTTATGGAAAGCTTTCCTAATGTATAATTTATTAGAATCCACAGATAAACTACCAAAGACAAATAGTAAATCTTTGTTTTTTCAGAAGTCAGTCAACCAATAACTATTTATTAGGGACTCACTGCCCCAAATAAAATAAATTCTTAGTAGATACAGAATTTTTAAACTTTCTAGGCATTATTTTAAAAAGCAAATAAAATATCCACACCTGGGAAAATTGTAGTTTAGCAAAAGGATTGATTTAGAAATCAGAAGAATTAAACACAGAAGCTTTTCCCCCCTTTTGATAATCACATTGCAGAAAATAGAGATCATGGGGAAAATAGAGAGAAAACCAGTTTAGTGTTGTTAAATAGACAGTTTTTTTACTTAATGATTTTAATAGCTGTATATTATTCCATCAAGTAGTTATCTTATATTTTACTTGAACATGTCTCTTTTCAAGCGTTTTTATATTGCTATAAATTGTTCAATATTCTTTTTGACTGAGTTTCTATACAGTTTGGATTATATTCTTAGGTTAGAATTCCAAGAAATGAAATACTAATGAAAAAGAGTCCTGTTACATATTGCTAAATTGCTTTCCAAAAGAATTGTACCAATTTATAACATCTCCAGCAAAGCATGAGAATATAGTTTTACAACAGTTTTGTCACACTGGATATTATAACTTTTGTAATTTTCTCAAGTAATTTTTTTAATTTGAATTTATGTTTAGTAGCTGTTGATGGTGGATATATTTTCATGTTTATTTAATGGCTGTTTTTCTCCTTTTAATTATTGTTTCTGAAAATTAGAAATGTCACTCTGTCATGTCCATATTCTTCCCTTGGAGTTTCAGTGCCCATCAGCCTGCTTCCTTCGTGGTTACTACCCAAATTCCATAAGCAGTGATCTTCTCTTAGGTTTTGTGTCAGAGTCAATTAAAATTAAAGATAGATATAGCAGATATCTTGAGATAAAAACACAAGTGCCCTTTGTTAAGTACTTTTCTGTAAGCAATTTTGCTCCTGGTCCAGGACTTCCTGCTACAGTCTGTTTTAATCCCGGAAGATTTGAGCCTCCGTAAGCACTATTGCCATTAGCAAATGCATAGGCTGTGTCAGAACATAGACCTTTATTTATGGTGAACTTCTAATTATATGCTTGTCCCTGCTATTAGATAGGAAGTAACTCACTTCAGATGGAGAACATTTTATTGTACTTCACTGTCATTTAACAGACTAAAAGCAATAATGTTGCAGATAGACTTTTGTGACCTCAGGGTATAAGTAAGGGAAATACGCTGTCTTCAAACTAATGGGACCTGGCTCATTATCAGAGGCCAGACTCAAATGACTTAATAGTGTAGCTTTAGATTTATAAAGAAAATTAGATTAACTGCTTTAGAAGTGATAAAATGTATTAACTAAAATACTATGGGGTTTTTTTCTTTTTCTTTTTCAGGTTTACAAGTAAAAGTAACCAAATTGAAAAAGGAACGAATTTTGTAAGTATCAGTATATAACACTGTCATCTTATTTATAAAGTAATTGATTCTTATGTCCTGTTTGACCTCAGTGTCTTATTTATGAGGAAATTAGCTTTACTTAGTGTGGACCTTGGATAGTTGACAGCACGTTTTTCAAAATTCTGAAGTGAAAAGAATAACTTAGTAATTTTGAGTATAGCGTTAGTTAATATTTGCATATATTTATATTTTAATATAATTTTTATATGTAATCTTTTTCCATAAAGTATTAAGACAGGAACTCATCTGTAAATTCATTCTAATCTGTCAACAGCATTCTTTAGTCAACTGTGATTAACTCCTGGAATTTGACATACTACAAGAGGGCGAGCAGAATAATTCTGGGATTTCTAAACTCGTATAAGAGATGAGAACTAAATGGATATTCTGAGAACTCTTTTAACTAGTTTGAAATTACCAGTGATTCCCCTGAATTGTTTTGCTTATTAAGCCCAGAATCAGATCTGATTTTCTAAGTCAGGAGCAGATTTTTTTTTTTGAGGAAGATTAGCCCTGAGCTAACTGCTGCCAATCCTCCTCTTTTCGCTGAGGAAGCCTGGCCCTGAGCTCACATCCATGCCCATCTTCCTCTACTTTGTATGTGGGACGCCTACCACAATATGGCTTGCCAGGCGGTGCCATGTCCCCATCCGGGATCCAAACCGGCGAACCCGGGACTGCGGAGAAGCAGAACGTGCACACTTAACCGCTCCGCCACCGGGCTGGCCCCAGGAGCAGATTTCACTCATGGTCCTTTAGAGCTTCTACATTCAGGAATCTGAACCAGATGATATAGTAGAATGTTATTACTCATAGCAAAAATTAATACTATTGTGACTATTGCATTTGTGTTATGGTGTATACCACTGGGTCTCAGTTACATCATATTCTTAAAGCTTCCAAGTCTGTAACCAAAAGCTAGAGTTACCAACCACCCATCAAAACCATTATACTCTGAAAATGAAACTTGTGAAGTTCTTCTTGACACCTGGAAAGTCATGTTTGGAAGATGACTTAGATTCAGAAATATAAAGTAATCAATTTTTTTTTTCCCTTTTTCTCCCCAAAGCCTCCCGGTACATAGTTGTATATTCTTAGTTGTGGGTCCTTGTAGTTGTGGCATGTGGGATGCTGCCTCAGCATGGTTTGATGAGCAGTGCCATGTCCGCGCCCAGGATTCGAACCAACGAAACACTGGGCCGCCTGCAGTGGAGCACGCGAACTTAACCACTCGGCCACGGGGCCAGCTCCTAAAGTCATCAATTTTTAAAACAATTTTTTTTGAAGAATAATTTTATGATTCTTGTTAATTAGCAATAGTTTTAAATGCTTTGCATTATTGAAAGTGTAATTGTTCCTCCCTTCATTATGTCATTTTAAACTCCTCGCCCATAGGGTAATCCATTTCTCTTTCTGTGGTAGAGCTGTATTTAGTTCCCACAGTTCAGAGATGTTTCTTTACTTATATAGCAACTTAAGCCTTTTCTGAATAGTAAATTTAGCGTACGTGTCTTAGTAGGTTATTTTCTTACTGTGTGGAAAAAAACACCAGAAGTGACTTTTACAGTAAGGAAAATGTATTCTTTCACATAGAAGGCCCAAAGTAAAGAGATTATAGGACTGGTTATTTAGTAACTCAACAATATCGAAGACTCAAGTTATTTCTATTATTCTGCTCTGCAATCTTTAGTGTTCTGGCTTGCCCTCTTAGTCTCGACTCACTGCAAAATGGCACGATGGCCATCATCATTCTCGTTATCACTTGTAGAACATCCTTGTATCCCTTTTTACTAATTATAAAAGTTTGCCAGAAGCAGCCTCCAGCACACTTCCTCTAACTCATGGATGATAACTATGTGCTTTTTCCTAAACAATAACTGTCAAAGGGAATTGAATTGACAAGATTGTCTGAGACTAATAAAGATTCTGACATTACTTTATGTATATTCTAGGATTGAGCAAATAATTACGTATGTTATTGATAATGAGAGCCTGGTTCCTCACTGTCAGGAGAAGAGAGTTACAAATAAGAAAAAGGAGAAAGCTAGGATGAACCCTATGGTGCTGGGTAGGAATTGGAGTTATCAGTATGAATTCATGGTTTTTAATATATAGATGAATAGATATAGAAATAGATATAGATAAGTATTTATGTGTGTGAGGACATAAATATATTTCCTAGGCTTGGTCCATTGAGAGGGCCTAGAAACAATGATTGCTGGTAGTCATGAGCGTACCTGAAACCCAGATGCTGATTTCTAAAGATTCTTCAGTAAAAGGAATCAGGGTTCTTTGGAGAACTGGCTGATTCCAGGGCTTGAGAGTATGCAAACTACAAGATGTGCTGGAACATCTTGTGGTGCCACAAAATAAGGAAATCCTCAAAAAGTAATAGGGGCATTTAAAAAAATTCCTAATGGCAAAATCTGGGACAACCTGAACATGAAATAATGGTAGTAATGAATTATTCTACCTGCAGAATAAATGGACAGCTCTTCCTTAGGATTTCAGTTACTAAACATAGAAAGAATGTTAGAAATAGAAAATCGCCATTTGGCAAACATCATAGCAATAATGGTTGAAGACAGGAATCATCAGTGTGGGCTAAAATTAGTGAAAGTACAATGAAAAACAACAATTGCAAATTTTGCAAATTACTCAACGTATCTCCCCGTAAGATGCGTATTAATTACAAAGGGAAAAATTACAGTATTACAGCAGAGGAACTAGGCAGACTTCTCTATCAAACGATCAAAGTTAACATCACTAGTAATCAGATATGCCAACCTCGTGTATACTTCCATAGTGGTATGATGCACTAAGAAGAGCACAGTATTACTTCTGTCATTTTCTTACCAAGAATGTACAGCCCAAGTTTTATCATGGGGAACCCTCAGACAAACCCAAGTTGAAGAACAGTTAAAATAACTGGCCAGTGCTTTTCAAAGGTGTCAGGCTAGTCAAAGACCAAGAAAGATGAAGAGACTGTCTCAGATTGGAGGAGACATGACATTAAATGCAACGTAGGATCCTGGACCAGAAAAATTATATTAGAGGGACCACTGGTGAAATCTGAATAAGGTCTGGAGATTAGTTAATAGTATTGTATCAGTATTAATTTCTTGACTTTGATAATTGTATTATGGTTATACAAGATACATTTTGAGAAGCTGGACGATAGGTACGCAGGTACTCTTTGTTCTTTGTTTATAACTTATTTGTAAGTCTAAAATTACTTTTAAGATGAAAAAGTTTAAAAATGAAAAAAATATTTTAAGATTCATCCCGACTTGAGAGAAGATCAACTTCTCTCCAAACAGCTGCTGAATATTGTAGAAAATCAGTATTCTTTTTAACAAGGAATAAGAAGGAAATGGCTGTTGGACAGGCAACCTAAAATGTTGTCACAGTTCAACTAATCCTACTCCTCTGGCTCAGAAGATGGGGCCAATGCACCTCTTGAGGCCTGATTTCCTTTTATGACACATATTTTCTTTTGTTTCTGTGGGCAATAGGGATTTCAAAAACTTTTCAGCCCTTTAATACACTTTAATTAATATTGATGGTATTACCGTATTTATGTGTATTAGAATTATCTGAATAATTACAGAAAACTCTTTATATAAGAATTCTTCCTATAATAAAAATTATTCCAAAAATAAATATAGTGAAATTGTATCATTTGGATGAGGAAATAGGATCATTTTCTTGGTTAATAAGTAAAATTTCTCTTTTTCTCTCCATTTGGAATCAAAAAGGGAAAATATCTTTCTTTTACTCAGGAATAAATAGGCTTTTCTTCAGTGGTGAAAATGTTTGAGAGGTTTGAGATTTAAAATTCTCTTATTCTCTTAGTCTTATTTTCTTATTTTCTTGTTCTCTTGTTTTCATCTTCATTTTGTTCATAGTTCAGCTAGTGATGGATACTACAAGCACTGTTAATCAGGAGATGAGCACTGTCAGTGACTTGGTCTGGTAATTTAATACATACCAAACTAAACAGCTAATTACTGTTTGTTGGAGTTACTCTACGAGTCTCCCCTTTTGTGAATAGTAACTCTGTATAGGAATTCTTGTTCTCTCTGACCTTTTCTAATACCAGAAGCGTAGAGTTTCAGGGTTGATTAGTAGCTAGACAGTGAGCTCTTTACACTATACCTTGGTTCAGTGTTGAAATTAACAATCTTGTAAATGCTGGATTAACCACCATTGATTAGAATGACATCATTTGGAGTCAAAATGTTCGTCACTTTCAAGAAGCAATTCTGAAACCCAGAAAGCATTGTTTGCTATTTGATTATACATTTTAAGCTGTGTTCACTAAATATTTTTGAAGGAATTTAGTTTTATGAAAATGGATCCTTTATGCAGGCCTAGTAGTTTTATTTTCTAAAATATTACTATTTTAAATGATAGATTTATAGATATAAGATAGTATTTCTTCTTAGAATTATTTCCCTGCAGATTGACTGATGAGATATAATTTAAAATGATCTACATTTGCTTCTGACAGATGCACTTTTTATAACTGAGTCTTTTTATATAAAATTTGAGTCTTTCTCCACACCTCAAACCAAACAGCCACAATGAAAAATCTTAAATTTGTAAATGACTGTTGAGTATTGCTTTCTCAAAAATTACCTATAATGTTTCTGAATTTTAAGGAATGGAAACACAGCTGGTTATTCAGTAGCTGATAATAATGCCCTACTTTACCATATAGTTCACAGAGTCATTTGATCCTCTTAGCAGCCTTTTAATATCAATTGTAATTACTCTGTAGCTGTGTACTTCAGGTAGCTTGGGGTTATACATTTTGAAGCACAGGTAAGTAACTAAATTCCCTGAGTAATCAGAGAATTAAAGGGGTGCTCTATTTTTTTAGTGAATTAGGTCTTTGCGTTGTGGGGCTCGGAACTTGGGCTTGCCTATATTGCCCTAAGCCCTCTTTCCCACTGTATTTTACAATAGACAGTCAGGGTGCAGTAACAGTTAGGATGTCTTGTCTCCATATTGTTAGAATAGCTGTATCTGTAAGATATCACAGTCCTTAGGGCTTTCCACCTGGAAGCAGCAGTTAGGAAAGTAATCAGAAACTATGCTGTATTTGTCCCTTACTGAATTGTTTCAGACCTGTGTTTTGATGATAGTTGTTTCTGCACATGGCTAACACTTCTCTTTTACACAAATTCATTTACGAAATTAAATATGTAGAAATGTTGACTGTTAAATATTTGTTGAATGTTCCAAAAAGAGGATCATTGAAAACCTGTTTCTGCTTCCGAACTAAATATATTTTCCAAAAGTATTAGAAAATCTTTTTTTAATGAATGAGAAAGAGCCAAATTAACGAGATTCAACTATCTATTACTGTTTATCATTTCCAAAATTTCTGATGTCTACATATGCTACCAGAACTATATTTGTTGTATAGTAGGAAGCTCTCACTCCTGGAGGTATTGGCTTTTCATTCAATATCAACTATTCAACCAATATTTAAGAAATACCCTCTATCTTGGGTGTCTGACATTTTGGCTTAGTTGTTTTACTCATCTGGTTTGCTGCCAGTAGTATTACATTCTATGTTTTAGCCATTTTGACACAAGCTACTTTTTTGGGTAGTCTTGTTTGTCACCCTTATTTGATTTAATATTTTAGACCCTTGAGGGGGCTGGGGGAAGATGTGTTTGAACCACAGTATTCTATATTTTCAGCTTCAAGATGACACAGAAAATCTCAATTACATTTCTCATGGGTTTTCTTAGAATTAAAATATATGCATACTTTATACAATAATGTGATTTTTAAAAAACATAATGATGAAGGGTAAAATATGACACAACCTTGGAAAGCAACCAGGTGATCTACTAGAAGGAAATTTTAGTTGTCTTTGTTTTTTCCTGACTGTAAAATCCTAATGGTAAGCACTTTAATAGAACTTGCTATGTGCCAGCACTGTTCTGCATATTGTATATACATTAGTACTTATACATTAGTACTTAGTCCTTGCGAATGCTTTATGAGGTATATACTCATGTATCCGCATTTTCTGAGGCACAGAGAGCGTAGGTTATTTGCACCAGGTCGCACAGCTGGTACATCGCAGAGCTGCGATTCAAACCTAGACATTAGAATCTAGGGTTCATGTACTTCCACTCCACCGTAAGTTCACACTTGGAAGTAGTACCAGGTAAAGATTTAAGCAACACAGAAATTAATAAAATAGAAAGTATAAATATCATATAACAGGAATAGAGATAATATGAGTAGAGAGGTCAGTTATTTACATTAACAAATATAGACAAAATAATAAAAAACAGTAAATATACATTTTAATAGCAATTTTTGACAACGTTGAGTCGCTAGTGGCGTCAGAGTCCACTCCTTCATCTGTGTTCCAGCATTGTGTGATGAATAACTGGTACTTAGGATAATACTTCTACACTACGTAAAAATACCATAGAGCAAATTCTACTATAATTTGAACTGTGATTAACAAAATATTCACACCTCACTATTTTAAGTTGTATGTTTTGATAGAACAAATTCATGATATCGTCTAAGTAGTGAGACCATACTTAGGAGTTCTTATGACAGAATTATCCTATTAGAGTAACTTTTCCCTAAAAAAAACACCTTATTTCTTGACTTTTAGAGATGCACAAAGGCTAGAAGAATTCTTCACCAAAAATCAACAGCTGAGAGAGCAACAGAAAGTCCTTCATGAAACCATTAAAGTTTTAGAAGATCGGTGAGTCTGGTTCTTGGGTCTTCTTGAGAAAGAGGTGATTTTCCCTTTAACAGAAAGTGTGCATTGATTTTAATTTGTAATCAGTTCTGAGACTAAAAGTGATCTTTTTCCCAACCTTATGTCGACTTTGGATAAATACTTTACGAAATTAAAGGTATGCTCTTACAGGTTTGTTTTTTCCTTAATTACAGCTATCACATCACTTTACCCTTAAAATGATGTTTCTTTACCTGGTGTTTAATGTAGGATGAGCGTGAGAGTAGCAATGTTCCATTTCATTTGATGCTTTAGTTCCATTTTTACTTCTAAGTAGGTGGAAGCTGCCTCACAATCTATGCCTGTCTTATTCCTGCCGCTCTCTTTTCTTCCCTGCGTATTCTCTACTTCCAGGCAGTCTAGGGATTCTTCTTTCTGAATATTCCCAAGATAATGCCTATCACTTACTTCATCTCCACAGTCAGACTTCTTTCTTTCCCACTCCTGTGAGGTTAACACCCTCCATTAAAAAAATCTTCCAGATTTTGCTATATTCCCTTGTCTGAATCTGCTATTTAGGACCTATAATAAACAATGTTTATTATGTAATAATAATAAACAATGTTTCTTGCTTTTTAGTTAATGTTTTTCCTTTATTATTATTTTTATACATGTTACAGAAGGGCTGATGGTTTGAGTTTGCCACTGTGCCTTTGTGGTAAGATAATCTACTATTCTGCACATATGCAAATTGAAATTGAGTACTCTTTTTCTTCTACAACTTCTCTCAGTGGATGCACATTTATTGTAATAGGCAGCGTATTGTGGAATAAAGCTCCATGTGCTTTGGAATCATAGGTGTGAATTTGAATTTCAACTTCACACTGTATCCTTAATTCAGATTCAACAGTAAATAATTAAGTCCTTAACTGTGTTCTCCGTATTACTCTGGGGACTGGGGATAATACCATCCCTAGTATGTCATGGAGCTGACATTTAATTTTCAAAAGTTGGGAGTGAGTCATACGTTGGGAGTGAGTCATACAAGTAAGAGGATTTCAGATTTTAAATGCTATGAAAAAGATAAAGTTGAATGATGTAATTGAATGACCACAAGCATTGGGAAATGAAGGGATACTGATGGGCATCAGGGATGGCCTTTCTGAGGAGGTGCCATTTGAGCTGAGACCTGAATGATAGAAAAAATAGCCAGTCACTTGAAGAACTGTAGGTAAGAAGAGAACAGACAAATGCAAAAGCCTAAGGTGGAAATAAGCTTTGGAATATTAGAGGAATAGAAGGTCTACTTAGTTCTAATTTAATGAGTAGAGGATGAATGATAGGAGATAAGAGTGGAAAGGTGGGAAATAATTAGATTATGTAGGGACGTAGGTGAAAAGTTTGGATTTTAATTACAGTGGGAAGCCGTTGGAGGGTTTAAGCAGGGGAATGACAAAGGGATATGAGTAGGTACTGATAGCATCTGCTATCTCCAAATGGAGATGTCAAGGAGATTGTTGCGTATATGAGTGTGGAACTAACTGGAGAGATCAGAGCTAGAGAAACAAATTTGAAAGCCCTCATCCACATATAAATGTCATTTAAAAACCTTCGGACTGGATAAGATCTCCTAAGGACATCTTAAAGAGTATAGGAAGAGAATAGAAGAGATCTCAGGGCTGAATCCTTGGGCTTACTAATTAAGGGTTAATGAAGAATAAAGACCCAGCCAGCAAAAAAGATGGAGAAAGAGAAATAATCAGAGTAGGAGAAAAGCCAGGAATATGTGGCATGACATGAATGACACCTTCTTCACAGGGCTATTTTGAAGATAAAGTGCGATAATGCAAGTAAAAGTGCATAACAGCAGTTTAAAAAGGCTTAGAACATCCCTCCTGATTGGTGAATAAGATGCCAACCTCTAGCACTCTAGTCTGTGCTTTACACTGCAGCTAGATGTACTCTCTCTTCAGCTGAGATATCAGGAAGCTAGAACGCCGTCCATCCCTCTCACCCTTCTGCAGCCCAGGATCAAAAAGGAAATCATCACTTCCTCGTCTGTTAGTGTGGTGAGGCCTTTCCTTCTGTTTTCTCCGGATGTGTAGTAGAGGATTTGGGAGGAAAGATGGAGAGCCTGTCTTTCTCAGCCTTTAACTCTCCAAATGTTGAAGTCCTTCCTTCTCTTATTTCATTATACTTTCTCTCTCATCTCTACCACTCCACCACTTTCCACAAGCGACGAGGCTCTTCCTTCTCTATGATAATGGTAATAATGGCGAGAGATTAGGAACTTTTTCTGTTCAGTGATTCCTACATAAAGAAAATTTTGAGGTTGACATTAACTAGATATGTTAGTCTGAATTCTCTGAGAAGCAAACATCAAGATGATATTAGACATTCAAGAAATTTATTGGATGAAACACCTGTAAGGAAAATGAGGAGGGAGCTGGAGGAGGCTGGGAGAGTTATGAGATCTCCATGCATCTAACTCTTGAAAAAGAGAGGAAACAGGAAGGGCTTAGACTGCATGGCAGTTTTAAGAAAGCTTTAGCAAGGCCACTGGGGAGTCCTGGAGCCATAGTGTCCCTGCTCTACTCATTCAGTGATTGAAGGTGAAGGATTTCAGAGCACAACAGCTGGAGCCAGTGACTTTACTTCCCACAGTAGGAGATGCATTTTCGTGCCTGCCACACCCGAGGACTGATTGTACAGTCATGCTCTGCATAATGATGTTTCAGTCAATGATGGACCACACATGTGACACTGGTCCCATTAGATTAGTACCATATAGCCTAGGTGTGTAGTAGGCTATACCATCTAGGTTTGCGTAAGTACACTCCGTGATGTTCACACAACGAAATCTCCTAATGATGCATTTCTCAGAACATATCCCCATCTTTAAGCAGTGCATGACTGTATTTATTTCCAGCACTCTTCCTGTCTAGTTGGTCATTAGCAAGTTGTTTAGGGCCCAAAGTTAATACATTGAAAAAAATCACAAGATAAAGTTTTCATTGTTTTCCTTGAATTGTGTTTAATACAATCAGCTCTCCATTTCATCCCCAAGATACAGTGTTCTTGATCTTAGCCCTCGAAAATACTCCTTTCTAATGTCTTCAGAACATTTCTTCACTTTATGATTTAAAGTTTGAGCTTCCAGTTCTGTTACTCTTGGCATCTTGTGCTTCCCTTCTTAAGTGAGTTTTTCTTTTCCAGGCGCATTCTGAGAAGATATGTCAGTGAATGAGTCACCAACCCTTCCCATTGAAGTATTTTCTAAATTACTCTCTTTTATTCAGTTAATATATTTATTTAAATTAAAATTGTCTTTTTTATTCTACAGTTTCATAAAACTAAATTCTTTTCTGTGTATGATCTGTGGTTGCTAATTTCATGTGGATGTCATGCTTCTCTGATGTTTCTTATCTTCAATGTTCTCTTGCCTTTCGTTCCATTCACCTTTACCTCCTTAGGTAGGTGGGCCGAAAATTCATTACACGGTATTAATTTGGTCGTGGGGAGTGGGGAGTGGGGATGGGGCAAGGAGTGTAGCCTGTTTCGTTGTACACACACTTTTTCTCTTCAAATCTAAAATGTCCTTCTGGGCATACTTTTTTATTCTTGATTTCATGGAGCCTCATTTAATTAAACCAAGAATGACCTAGATCTGAGCTTTTTTTTTTTTTTTAACATAGGAAGTGTATGTGTCGAGAGCTCACTTTGTACCCAGGCGGCTGGCACTTAATCTTCACGTTAACGCTAGAAGGTAGATGATAAATCCATTTTACATATGAGGAAACTGAGCTGGCAAAGAGTTAAGAAACCTTCCCAAGATCACATAGTTAATGGCTAATTAGTATAATTTGACCCTCCACATTCCCTAGCTTCTGCTGTTTCACGATGCCTTGTCTGTATGTTGTCTTACTTTTATAAATGTTGTGTAAATGAATTACACCTCAACTGATTATCTCAAAGTATTTGTGCTTGACCTAAAATTATCAGAACAGATACTCTGAGATGTTAAGTCTTTACTGTTGCCTATTATCTAGTCTGTTTCCTTGGAAGTTTTTTTTGTTTTTTGTTATTTTTTTTTAAATTACTACTAACTAAATACTAGCTTTAAATGTCTAACTAGGTAACATTTGGTAAAGTTCTGCCTTATTTAAAATTTCATTGTAGTTTTAGGTCATTTGTAAGAATGATGTCTAGGGCAAACTTTAAAAATCTCTAGGAAGTTTTCCTGAGACCTTTAAAAAGCAATACGTATTTTGTTAAAATTTCTAAATAGTAATTCTAGAACTGGTTTCCTACTCTTCATAAGGTGAAGTGATTCTTGTTTCTTATGCTAATGTTGTGACAACGTGAGAGGTTTAAATAAAAGGAATTACCCAATAAAAGTAAATTAAATAATAAAAAGTTCTAATTTTATGTGGCTCATTTATGTTTTACTACTATTATTATTACATTTACAAACTTTCCTTCAGTGAACAAAGTATTTCGCTAAATCTAAGAAGCAGTGACTGCTGGAGAAGTAGATAGAATGCATTTAAAAAAAAATTTGATCAAAACAGTTAAACCATAGTTGTCTAGTAGATTTTAATATTTTTAAGAGCATTTTTGGTGGGCATAGGAAACTCATCTTACATTTCACGTGTTGTTAAAAGGGAAAATTGGTACTCATAATCAGAGGATTTGTGGTTCTGCAAGTACTTTTCAAATAGTAGACCAAATGTCCTCTTTTTTTCTTGCTAACTCTTAGGGATTTAAATTTAAACATCATATTCTTCAGGAGACCTTCTATGACTTCCTAAGCTAGGTTAGGTTCTGCTGTGTGCCTTCATATTTCATAGTGCCCTGTATTTCTGTTGACGTCGTATGATTCCTACTTTGTTGTAGTTACTTTTTTATTGTCTTTGTCTAGTAGACGGTAAACTCTGTAAAAGCAGTGACAGTAAATATCCTGGCCAGTTTTGTATTTATAGACCTACACCTGTAATACTCACTGTAGGTGTTCAGTAAAACTT